GGTATCTTGATTATTATATGTCTAGGTGTAGATTTTTTTTTTTATCATAGCTAGTTTGGAGTCCTATATGCTTCGCTTATCTGTATGTCAAATTCTTCTCCTGTTTGGAAGTTTTCTTTCATTAATTCTGTGAACAGCTTTTTTAAGTCATTTGCATTTTCTCCTGCTACTTCATGATTCCTATCCATATTATGTATTCTTCTTTGCCTCATCTAGGAGTTGTTCAATCAATTTCACATGTTCCCTTACTATTTTTGAGACCTCTCTTTTCACGGTCACTGTCCATGATCCTATCTTCTGTATCTGAGATTCTATTTTTGCAACGTTATATTCTGTTGTGTACATTTTAAAATTGAATTTATCATTACATTATAGGTAGACAGTACAGTTACATTCATTACTGGAATCTTGTACCTTTACATGCCAGGTCTTGGTTCTCATTTTTTCCCCTGGTCCCCACCCTCCCTTCACGTACAGTTTCAATAGTTTTTCATCTCCTGGATATCTGTTTGAATCTGTTTAACGGTTTCCATTTCTTTCCTACGTTGGATGTTCTTTGTTTTCATTTCTTTCTTATTCTGGGCCTTCATGGTTTCTAGTATGTTCCTAAGCTCATCTATTTTTTTGTCAGTTTCTACCCTGGAGTCTTGAATCATGTCTTTCATCTTCCTCACCATATCTATGGTTATCTAGGAATTTATTTGTTTTGAATTTTTCTCGAGCTTGATTGATCAGTTTTGTTATATCCTGTGCAGTGCGTTCTGAGTGTCCTGGTGGTTCACTGTCAGACTTTTCATCCTCCTTTGCCCTACTATTTGTCATTGGTGGACTGAAAGTCTTTGTGTCTTCCTTAAGTTTTCTCATCTTTATTTTTGCTGTTGGGTTGCCCTTGATTAAATCTCTGGGTCATTACATCTTCCTGATATCACTGCATCCCAGCCTTTGATTCTCTGACTTACAGACATTCTCATTTTCATAACTGAGAAAAAAACTCCAGGTCAATCTCTATCTTTTATCCCAATCAATACAATCAGGGACACAATAGGATCAATCATCACCCTTTATAGCCAGCCATGCCTCTGCAGAGTGCATCCAAGGACTGGCACAATCAGAGGATAGAAGAGCTGGTTGGGGGGGATGCTCCTCCTGTCACTGGGTCAGGGCAACCAGTTGTGCCCACAGGGAAAGGTGGGGCTGGGAGGAGGCCCATAGATTGGGCTGGGCCACGTGGTACAGGGGGCTCTGAAGTCCAAGCTGGGGCCAATGTCACAAAACTCACCCTGCTGGCACTGGATCAGGGCAAGCAATATGTACTAATTAAAATAAAGAAACAAATATCTGGTGTGCAGGTATGGAGACACATACCGGTGATCCCAGCACTCTGGGAGGCTCAGGTAGGAGTACCTAAAATTCAGGACCAGCCTGGGTAACAGTGTAACCCTATCTCAGTAAGAAATACAGCACTGGGGAAGGTTCTGGGTACAATTCCTAGCATAATATAATTCTTTACATGCTCTTATGTACATGGAATACTCTCTAGCACAAGAAAATCTAATAAATGATAGAAAGCAGTACACTCTTTTAAGTGCAACTATGTTAGTAGTAGAAAAACTGTTTATATATTGGAGCACTAATCCATAACATCTTATTGTGTGACTATATTTGAAATCAGTCCTCTAAAAGTGATTAAATTCTAAAGCTATTAGGATGTCCCTTCAGCTAATCAAACTAATATCCTGTGATAAAAAATCTAAAAAGGAGATACTGTATAGATGAAATATCATGTGAGGACACAAGTTCACCATCTACACGCCAAGGAAAAGTTTCATTAAGATATGTCTTCCGAACTACATATGCTGATACTTCACCTTGAATCTCTACCCTTCAGAACTGTGAAAGCAATTTAACTCACCATTAAATAAATGTGACTTAGCAACAGAATTATGAACAACAATCAAATTATCATCTAAATAAAGGTACAAAAAACTAAGATGTAAGAATCTAATAGCCTTTCATGATAACACATAATGGACAGAAAAAGTAGGTAATCTTATGATATAAAAGAACAGTTACCAAAAGAATAGTAATAAATGGCAAAAAACTGTTTATTTTCTTCTAGAGGAAACACTGTAGTAGAAAGTTCTAGGCATCTACCAGAATAGAATTCTAGCAATTTGAAAAGAAAATCTATATCAGATGGTATAGTATGTAAAAAATCCTAGGGCCAGGAACTTAGCTCAGTGGTTCTGCTGCCTGCTTTGCAAGCACAAGGACCTGAGTTTGATCACCAGTATTAAAAAAAAAAAAAAAAAAAAAAAAAAAAAAATCCTAAAGATTCCTAAAGTCTTAAATATACAAAATGAGATGGAGACATGGTGATAATGACTCCATAACATTATGAATTATTTTAAGACTACAGCACTAAACATATTTAGGATAGTTGCAGACCCCTTCTCTAGCAAAAACAAAGCCCCTATTTATGTTTGATCCCCCACACCAGCCCTACCCAAGAAAGGCAAAATTTCTATTATCTGTTCTTTACAATATAAAGGTCAGAAAAAAATCAAGTTTTGTTAGCAACAAAATTTCCAAAAGTAAAATTAAGAAAACAATTCTTTAACAAGAGCTATCAGAATAAGCACTTATAAAAGATGTACTCTGAAGTCACAGATCTTTTTTGGAAAAAAATTGAAGTAGCTGAGAAAAAGTCTACATTTATCGATAGGAAGAGTTAAAGATGGTAACATTAGGCAAATTAACCTAACAGGTAATTTATAAGGAATTTTTTTGACGACTAAAGAGGACACTGATAATTTTAAAGCTTGCCATTTAGTAGTAGCAGTTAAGATAGTGTAGAGTAAGGACAGGCATATGTCTTAACTTCAGGACATTATTTTACTCTCATCTGCCAGGTAGATACTAAGCAAAACTACGTAGCTGCATTCAGAGCAAGTAAATTAGTACCAGCCAAAAACAATGAGGCAGACATCCCATAAAAAGACAGTCTACCAATTTATGTATACTTCGTTTCAATATATACAAAACAAAGGCAGAATCAACCACAGAAAAAATGATGGCCCCTCCATCTTAAAGGCGTAGGTTACACGGGAAACAAAAGCTTTTAAACAGTAAGAGTAAGCTATTTCACTAGCACATGCAAAACACTGTACTTAACAATTTAAAAATATTTCAAGAGGAAAAATAACTTCAAACTACCTACACTTGAATTCTAGTTATGTTACTTACAAATTTTGAGAGCTGTGTCTCACACTCTTGAAGGTAAAAGCCTCTTTCTAAGTTTTTCTTTTTTGTACCAGGGATTGAACTCGGTCCTTGCGCCTGCAAGGCAGGCCACCGAACTGCTGAGCTAAATCCCCAGCCCACTAAGTTTCTTATACTAACTACTACTACACATAAGTAACTCAGAGGGTAGGTATAGTGGGTATCTGCATCAGTACTCTAGAAGGATAGGCAGAAGAATCACGTTTGAGCCCAACCTGGAGAGTTTAGAAAGACACTGTCTCAAAATAAGTAAAAGCCAACCATGGTGGCATACTCTTGTAATTCCAATACTTAGGAGGTTGAGACATAAGTATCACCATGACTTGCAGGCCAGGATAGGCTACATGAGTTCAAACTACAAGGCAAGACCCTGTCTCAAAAAAGTAAAAACTGGGGCTAAGTAGCTCAGTACAAAGGTCTTAGGTTAAATCCCATACCAATAAATAAATAAATCCACACCCTAGATAGAACAGTACAAAAATAAGGAAAAAACCTTGTTGCATTTTTTCACGGACAGCCTGGGTTATATAACTGTTTAGGGACTGGGAATTTAGCTCAATGGTACCGCTGTCTGCCTTTCAAGTGCAAGGTCCTGACTTTGATCCTCAGTAAAAACAAAACAAAACAACAACAACAAAAAACTGACAAATATATAACTGTTCGGTTAAATCTATAGATATTTATAGGGTAAAATGTGACATTTTGCTATATATATAATTATATATATTAATGTAAAATTTTTGGAAGAACTCCTATTGTCTCTCTATATAAAGTCACTGAAATCATATGAAAAACTGACTAAACACATGAATGCCATTTATCTGAAGGGGAAATAAAACTACAACTTTTTTTCTGGTACTGGGAACTAAAACCAGAAATTTCTGAATGAGTTCCTCCCCAGCCTTTCTTTTTTTTTTGGCAATGGAAATTGAATTCATGACCTTGTTCTTGTGAGGCAGTCACAGTGCCACTGAGCTATTGACCCTGGCCCACCCCATTGCTTAAAAAAAAAAAAGACACTGTCTTTCTGACTCACTACATTGTCCAGGCTAGGCTTAAACATGTGATCCTCCTCCTATACTAGTCTCTCACAGGGCTGATATTATTATAGATGTATACCATCTATACTATTATAGGTTTTTACCACCATGCCTACCTTGTGTTCTTAAAGACCTCTATATACCCAAAAGCATAAATGTTAATGACACTGTAATCAATACTATAAGACAGTCCTTCAGGCATTAAGACTATAATAACTGGGCTGGGGATTTAGCTCAGCGGTTCCGTGGCCTGAGTTGCAAGCGCAAGGACCCGAGTTCAATCCCCGGTACCAAAAAAAAAAGATTATAATAATCACAAATTACCAATTTTATACACGTTAAACAGATCAATTATGATCGAATCACAATCACTCAATATTGTGGATTAATAAAAATGAGTTCATACAATTATAATTTACTTCATTGGTATACTGCTTATTTAAAATGTCAGCATCAAGCCTATTATTTTTCAATTATTAATAACGAATTAATTATAAGAGGGAAATATACTTCCTACTTTGTATCAGAAAAAATGCTAGTATTAGAATCTATATTCTAGAATTATTAATTAAACAAAACTATATGATAAAGCAGAAATAAGGTCTAATGGATACTTATTATTTATTTAGTATTTAGTATGACAATATTTCCAGTATGGAAGGACTGTTGAGTTTCAGGTACAAAGCAAAAGGCCGAGAACATGATGAATACCAAAAGTAGAAACAAAGTAAGAGGAGTTCCAATTTTCATGCACAAAAGGATCACTTTATTTTAAACGAATTTTCTTTTCATTTTATATTTTAAAGTCACAACAACATAAGGCAAATGTAACCAGTCTTCAAGGACACTTCTTGTTTTCAAGTTTCTACATGGGTGGCAGTCCTCTTAGCCTGGTGATACTAAAACACAAATCACAGAAAATACGGCAAACTTTTTTTCAAGCAAGATCAGCAGTGTGTATGATACAGCAAAAGTTGTTTATAATAACCCATTTTATTTCACAGCTGCACTGACATGTGACTTTGAAAATATGTATCATTAATGTCAACTAAAACATAGGTTAATACAGAAATATGTTAATTTAAGTATTTATTGGAGACTCTATTGAAGCAACAACATTAAGTTTCCTGACAAAAATGAGATAAAACTGACAGGATATAGTAAGGTAATAAGATATAAAATTATTTTCCCAGTTTTGCTTTAAAAATAAGAAGAACTCTGCCTTCATCCAATTGTATTATTTAGCTGTAATTCTTCATTCGTCCTCTATTGTTGGCTTGATTGTCACTCCTCTTCTTATCTGACCCCAACCAATTAAACTGCAAAATGAAAATTAAAAATATCATTAATTTAAAATCTTTTGCAGCAGTATTACTATATTATCATGATTCTAAATTCAAACCCATAAACTTAATATGACTCTATGAAAGAAACCTTGCATTTTCAAATCCTTATTCTCATATCCTTATAGTGAAATCTGGCCAGTATGAAAGATGAGAAAGGTAAAGAAATTGTTGAGATATATAATCATGTGTCCCTTATGCACCTATCTCTTCAGAACTAATAAAATTTCAAATTCCTTAAGCCAATACACTCTGCCAAACAGAACTAAACAAAGGAACACTCATTATTCTTTTCTCAATGAAAAATGCAAGTGTTTTCCTAATTTTGATAACACTTCAACATACAATGGTTTTTAAGTAAATAACCTGAAGATCTTATAATTCATAAACAGACTATTCTTAATAGCAAGTTGACCTCTGCATTCTTTCAGTCCATGTGCTCCAGTCCATGTGAGGCTAATCTTTTAGGAGAAAAAATTTTTCTAACATGAGCTAAAAACAATTCTAAACAGCACAAAACAGTAGGAAAATTAGCAAACTGAAAGACTTGAAAGCTCTATAATCTTATTTCCCCAAATGAAACACCACATAACCAACAGAAAACTAACACAACAAATGCTGAACTTAAAAAACAAAGACGAAAAATCAAAACTAAAGGGGAACAGTGATGCTCAACAACTAGGCCACACACACCAGGAGGTTGGACTGGAGAGTTTATTCAACGAGTGGGGAGCGGAGAAGAAAGAAGAGAGAGAACAACAAAGAAAGGAAGGTCCTTTTATTAGTTTTGGGCTGGGCTATTGTTTGTTTATGAGGAGTGGGCTACTTTTAACCTATCACATGCCAGGTTGCCTTTTATGGGATCAGTCCTGCAGAAGCAGGTTTTAACTTTTCTGTCTCGCTGTGGCTTCGGTGGAGGGAAACTAAACATAAAGATCATGAAGTCATTCTAAGAGCCAAGAAGCACAAGGAAAATGCAGCCTGTAATGACGGCATCACAAAATACTTTAACATCATCAATTCCCTAACAAAAACACCCCCCCAAATCCTAACAAATGAAAACACTTCCAATTAGTAGCAAATCCCATGGCATCTTTGTCCTTTTATTCTTTTACATCCTGGATGTGATGCTGCTCAACAAAGACTACCAGTTCCCAGGCTCGCAAAGGGATGGAATAAAAGGAACAGATCTCATTTTCAAAGCTTGGATTTATCTTGGAACTGCTCAAGGAACTAATTTTTGTCCTGCTTGGCTTGGAGATCTGACATGAATTGCAACATAGTTTAGACAGTACACTGGTGGTTGATAAAAGCAATAATCAGACTGAGAGCTACAAGGCATACTGTACCTATAACTTGTAAGCAAAGACTATAAACAGGAATATAACAGCTAAGTTCAGAGATGCAGTAAGGATGACACTCTTGGGGAAAATAGCCAGCACTATGTGTAAGACCTCAGATTTGATGGCCTACAATGTAACTGAGAAGTGAGAGTTAGAAACAAAGAAACAGAAAACAAAAGAACAAGTGCCATGTACATGGGAGGACAGAGAAGGTACAAGAGGTACTAAGCATCTCTTCTTGAGGTCCAAGAAGATACATGTCCAGAAAAGGCCAAAGACACCTCTTCACATTCATTCTAGACTCATTAGTGAAGGTCAAAGCCAGTCTGCAGACATTAGGAGATAACAATTATTCTATAAATACATACTTTACAACGTTCACAGAAAAAGAGAAAAACAACAGAATGTCCAGAAATCACTCTTACAGAGAGTATTTGACAGAATTTAATTGTCATAAGTATGCTCTAAATCACAGAGAATGTGTACTCAAACATAATGGCAATCAGAGAGTAACATATGAACAAATATTGTGAAACTAATTCTAAAAAAAGGAACTAAAATATGACTAAAAATTGAAGAATGAACTACAAAGCCTTTACAGCATACCTTAATAGATGCAGCAGACCTGGAAATGGGTAATTTAGAAAGAGAAAATAAGGAAAACAATGTCTAAAAGATTTATCAAAGATAAGCGTCCCAACATTTGAAGAGACTAAGGCAGCAGGCACTCCATAAATTCAAAGCCAGAGTGGGCTACATGCATTACGCCAAGGCCAGTCTGAAATACACAGCAAGACCCTACCTCCAGAAAATAATAAAAAATACAAAGTTTAGTATATGTATTATGGGAGCTTTAAGGGAGAAAAGACAAAAGAAAGAAGTAGAGAATCCATTTGAATACACAGTGCCTTATATAAAAACAAAAAACCCAGAAACTTCAATCAAGACAAGTTATAGTTACTGTGTAAATTATAGGCAAGGAAAGAATCCTAAAGGCAGCAAGAAAAATATATTTCTTACATAAAAAGGATTTTCACTATGATTATTAAATTGTAAGTGGATTTCTCAGGAGAAACCTGAAAAAATGGATGAGAGATTTAAAGTACTACAAGAAAAACAATTAAAAGAATTAGGTATTTGACAAAAACCATTCTTCAAAAATAAACTAAAATCTTCCCAGATAAATGAAAGTTGATGGAGGTTTGTTACCACTAGAGATGCACTATAAGAAATGATAAAGTATATAGTTATCTCAAATTGAAATAAAGTATTTTAAACAATAACTGGAAGGCATTTGAAACATGCTCTCTGTTAAAGGTAAAGGTACAGGCTAAAAACCAGTATTGCTAATACTTTCATTAAACTCCAATTTTAACTTTTTAGTAAAAAGACGAAAGTCAGCTAGCCATGGTGGTCAAGTCTATAAATCCTGTTCTCTCTGCTAAAATGAGCCTGGGCAACTTAACCAGTCCCTAGTTAAAAAAAAAATTCAATAAGTTAAATAATGATGAGGATGTAGTTCACCGTGAAGGTCCTGAATTTAAAGAAACAAAAATATACCCCGGTGTGGTGGTGCACACCTGTAATCCTAGCACTCAGGAGGCTGAGGCAAGAGTATCACTGAGTTCAAAAAGAGCCTGAGCTATATAGTGAGTTCCAGGTCAGTCTCTACACAGTGAGACCATCTCAAAAAATGAAACAAAACAAAAAACAACAACAAAAAAGAAACAAATATATAAGCTATAAAAATTATACAGAAAATATAACATGCAAAATTTATGGTATCAGTAAGACAGGGATTCAAGCAAAGCATAAAGGACATTTTATATACAGTTAAAGTTATTGATTACCCTTTTCTTTTGATTTTTTAAAAAAATTTTAGCAGTGCTATAAATTAAACCAAGAGCTGGATTCTATGCAAGTGGTATACCACAGAGCCACCCCTCAGCTCCCTAAAACTATCAATTTAAAATAGGCCTTTTAAACTTAAGATGTCAAAAAACAGTAAAAGAACAAAAGAGGGACAAAGAACAAAATGTCAACAGTCTCTCATATCACCATTTCTGTCAATTCGTTAACCTTCTCAATCAACCATGTAAATGAATTTAAAAGCAGGAAACTACACACTACATGCTTAATAAGTTACCAAGCGTTAAGAAATCCAATTTAGATCTAAAAATATATAGGTAAAAATATAAAAATTGAAAAAGGTATTTCCTGCAAATATTAACCCAAAATGAGGATGGAACTTTTTCTAGTATCAGGCAAAATTAACCATAACACAAAACACTCAAAGAGAATATTAACACAATGACAGAAAGGTCAATTCACTAGGAGATACTGTGACTGCTAACATAATCTGTACCAAACATAACGAGTACATGACAGAAAATTGACAGAATGGAAAAAAATACACAGCTTTACAGTAATAAAAGACCACTATACCTAATTTAAAATGAATGAAAACATCATTTAAAAAGAAAACTATAAAGTACTACAGACTACGCAAGCATATATAAAATACTCTACTGAACCATGCAGTACACACATTTTTTCATATACTTCCTGAGCATTCCCCATTACAGAAAATATGCTGGGTTATAATTCAAATGTTTAGTAAGTCTAAAATGATTAAAGTCATACAATTTACAAAGTTATTTCTGAATGTAACAGAACAGTGGAAGAAACCAATAGGACAGAAAGAAAATAGACAAATACACAGAAATTAAAATCTTAAAAAAAAATCAAAGGGTAAAAGAAGGAATCAAAGAGAAATCAAAACTACATTCAAATGAAAATGAATACACAATATAAAAATCTTATGGGCAGCTGCTACTGAAAATTCCTCAAAAATTTACCACACAACCTTGCAATTCCACACTGTGTATATATATCAAAAAAGCTGAAAGCATAGTTTTTTGAAAGGTGTTTATAAAACATTCATAACAGCATTAGTTACAATAGTGTCATGACTGGTAGTAAACCCAAGATTTGCTGATTGATAAATAACTTTACCACACAATACCACACATAATATTCAGTTTTAAAAAGGAGAAATTCTTGACATACACTAAAAATGCCCTAAGAACTGTATGCCTAGAGAAATGAGTAAGAAAAAGACAAATACATGTGACTTTACTTGTAAGAAGTACATATTTTAGTCAAGTTCATATAGAGTGGGTTTGCCAGGGTTGGTGATGGGGAAAGTGTAGTTTCTGTTTAATGTGTAGATCTTCATTTTGGAAGGATTGCAAAAACAGTGGTGATGATGTCTGCATAATAAAGTAAATGGACATAACATTTATGAGCTGTACAATTAAACATTGTTAATACGGGTCTGGGATTGTGGTTCAGTAGTAAAGTGCTTGTCTTGAGTTCTGACTATTAAACAAAAGGACTAATACATATGTTCATCACAAAGTACTTTAAAAAAAAATGCTGTTTTTTTTACTAAGTGACAAATTCCCTAATAAATGTTATCATTATACCTACAACGTACCAACAAAAAAAGTGTTGACAAAATTTACAAACTCACCGCCAGTGTTTTTCAACTCTTCGACTAAGGGCAATTTTTTCTCCTACTTCTGTGCATACAGGATTAGTAAGAACTATTTTACCCAAATCAGCCTTTACTGCACTAACTCTTCCTCCTGTAGACAGAGATCCTATGTTCACCATGAGCACTTCGTTCCTGGAGAGCTTCTGCACCTAGGGAAATAAAAATTAAACATTTACATTAAAAATAAAACCAAAATACTCCTGTTGTTTCCCACCTTTTAAAATCATTTTAACTATAAAAGAATAAACACAAAACTAACTATAACATGCTTTGTATTTTTCAAATGGGAATTATACAAAGTATTTACCTTTGCTGCTTTTTTGTCTCCTTCTGTACGCACACCTAGAAGCCGTCTAAGTAGGAAATAGGAAATTTCCAATTCTGTGAATATCTCAGGTAATGCTCCAACTGAACCAAGTACCTGCCCCACCATTCTGTCAGCTCGGCACAATGTTGGGTCAATTTTTGTTCCAACTCCTAACATAAAATACAACATGAACAAATTTCTAAATTTTCTTTTTTAAAGTGCTGGCAAACATAAATATTCAAACCAAGACAGAGTATGCGACACATATTAAGATCTGTTTATGTTGTTTATACCATATAATATCTCTATAATCAATTCCCTTACAAAATTCCTATTTCACATGAGGGAAAATTGGCAAGTTGTTTGACAAAATTAAGAACAAAGACTGTCTTGACTTAAATATAAATGCAAATGATTAAAGATGAATTTTACCAATAAAAGATTTCTAACTTTGCTAGCTGCTAAGGTTGGAGAGGGGCAACTTAGTAAGAATCTGTCTCAAAATTAAAAAAAAAATTCAGTCTTAAAGAATAAAAGAATATAAAGTTCACAAATTTTAATCTACAGAAATAATACTGACAATTTCCAATACTGATTGATGAACACAGAAAGTTATTGTACTATTTTACCAGTGTGTTTATTATGCATTTCAACATAGGTCAAGACTATAAAACTTCATTTCTTTGTATATGTTAAGGTCTTTAATGTTGCTATGAACATGGTCTATTTTGAATGAATTAATTCCCAGCATCAGAAAGATCTATAAACATAAAGCAGCTCAGCATTTACCTAGATGTAGTAGGGAGAAAGATGATAGCTAGAAAACACAATGTTTTGTTTGGGGATAACAAAAAAGATCTATATTTGATAGTGGTCATTGTTATACAACTCTGTCAAGTGCTAAAATCATCTGAATCTCATACTTTAAGTTTCTAAATTGTATGGTATATAATTTTTTAATATATGTAATTTTAATGTAAAAAAATTCTGAAAACTTTATTTTCAAAAGCAAATAAATAATTTTAAGTAGCCACAAAGTATATACAGTAAACTCTTGGGTATGACAATATAATGAACAGTGAAATATATTCTAAAAAGAGAATGCCAGCAAAATAGCAAATAGCAAAAAAGTCTCCAGAAATTCTCTTCTCCCTAAGAAGCAATGAGAAAATATATGTCAACTCAACCTTTTCAAAATCCTACAATCTTTTCAAAATCCTAGAAATTATTGAAAGCACTGAGGCAATGTGAGATGTGTTCATTCAGGGAAACTGTTTAATAAATCATTTGTCAGGAGGAGCAGAGCTTTCTAGAATTCTTTAATTATCTCTCTGCTCACTAAATGCTTTTGTCAGTGAAACTCAATAATGTGCATTTCTGGTGAAATCAGCTACTTTGGCAGGTGCTGGAGAAAACCACAAAGGCTTAGAATTGTTTCATTCCCACTTTTAGGCCTGTCTTATTTGTCCAATAAGGAGAAGTTACCAGTAACAACTAGAGGTATTTAGCAGTGGAGAAAAAAAGGTTCAGACAATTATTAAAAACCTTAAAAAAAGAAACTTGGAATAAGATGTCTAAGGGGGCCCTGAAAAATCTGACATTCTTACAAATAAAGAACACCAAATACATAGGGTTATTTCACGCACAAGAACCTGAGTAGGCTTTAAACTCTCATTGCGAGATAAACTTATAGTTGTGGCAAGCTGGAACTAAAGGCTAAGTCAAAGTGTCAACTATCTAGTTGAATGTTGGAAGCATCCTCCAATATTTCCACACTACTGTTTGGCAAGCACTGACACTCTGATTAGTTCTAGGTAATAAGAAAAAAATTTTACCAGCTGCTCCTCAGGCAAAGGACTATTATCTAGAATATATAAAGAACTCAAAGCAACCAGCTCCTCCCCCCATATAAAGACTCGATTCAAAAATGGGCATTTGAAATGAACAGACATTTCTCAAAGAAGTAAAAGCAGCAAGTAAATATATGAAAGAAAAGTTCCACATAACTAGTTATTTGAGAGATGCAGATGAAAACAATACTGAGATTCCACCTCACCCCACAAAGAATGGCTGCTATCAAGAAATCAAACAATAACAAATGTTGGCGGGGATGTGGGGAGAAAGGAACCCTTTTCCATTGTTGGTGGGAGTGCAGAGTGGTGTAACCACTGTGGAAATCAATATGGAGATACTTCAAAGATCTTGGACTGGAGGTTCCATTTGACCTAGCCACCCCTCTGCTGGGTATCTTTCTAAAAGAACTAAAACTATCATATCACACTGATATATGTGCACCCATGTTTACAGTGGCACAGTTTGTAATAGCTAAAACTTGGAAACAGCCCATTTGCCCATCAGTTGGAAACTGGATAAAGAAGATGTGGTTTTTCTATAAAATGGAATATTACTCAGCCATAAGAAATGAAAAAATAGATTCATTTATAGGAAAAGTGATACATATTGAGGATATACTCCTAAGTGAAATAAATAAGTCACACATGTGTAAATACAGAATAGTTTCTCTGGTGTGAAAAATTATAATAGTACATAAGATCCTAATGAGATGTGACATTGTGAAATGGGAAGAAAGAGGCTAAAGGTGTAGGGAATGTGGGATGGGTAGGGGAATGATAATAAGGAAAAAGAAAAAAATGTGAGATAATGAAAAGATGGAAATAAAGTGTTTGTAGATGGGGAGGGGGTGAAGGGAGGGCAGGGACAAGGGGAAAAAATGAGAACCAAGACCTGTCATGTACATGTACAAAATCCCAACAATGAATCCCAACAATGAATGTAACTGTACTGTATCCCTAAAATGTACCAATAAACTCAAAGCTGAAAAAAAATATCTGACCACCTAACCACACTTAGTGACCACAGAGGAAAATAAAAGGTACCAGTTCAGAAAAATTTAATAAATTACGAAGACAAAAGGCAGTAAAAATAAAGCCTCAGGATGGGGAGAACCTAGTTTTCTTAGGAACACAAAACTGTATCACTTAAAAATGTTTTCAATACAAAATTACATGATGTACAAAGCAAGAAATGTGGTTTATACAAAGGAATCAAAGCAGTATTTTAAAATAAATTTCCTGAGAAGCTAGAGGTATAAGAATTACCTAGACAAAGATTTTTAAGTAGATATCTTAAATGTGTTCAAAGGACTGAAACGCCATGCTTAAAAACTACATACTAAAGTATGAAGGACAATGTTAAACGAAATACAGAATGTCAAAACAAAGTATAAGAATAGCAATCAGGCATTATGGAGTTGAAACATATAATTAAGACAAAAGGATGCCAGAGAAATTCAACTGCCAATTTAAGCAGAAAAAAGAAAAGTCTTATGCTTGAAAGGAGGGTTGGGAAGAGGAGGGAGCAAAGCCTTAGAAATCAATCAGACACCACGAAATATATCAATACAAGCACAATGAGTCTGGACAGTTGACAAGATCATGACAAAGAAGCTTTTACGCTGCATAAAAAATTTCCAGATTTGAGTGGAATAGAGGAAACAATCTACACATTCATGAAATTTAACAGGTTGTTAAGTAGAATAAACTCAAGAACAACAATAAAACACATTATAACTGGTTTAATGAAATGAACTTAACACTTATAAGTTTCTGTAAAATAGACAAGTATCTCACAGAAAACACAGACCAGAATGCCTGTACAAGAGTTCTCCATGAGGTAATATTCAAGGTTGAAAGAAATACATAGCAAAACATCCAAAGCCAAGACAAATTCTTTTTCCAACACTTTCTTCTTTAATCCATGGCTAAAAGACAATGAAAACTCCCTTGAAAAATCTTGCAATTCCTAGATAATACTAATGCACCATGTAATAAAAAATACAAAATCCTTGTTACTTCAGCAGTCTATACAAGAGAAGTTATCTTTATGTGCTCCTGTGTATTACTTCATAATACAGATATTTTTGCATAACTTGCCATTAATAATAGTAATACACATGATCAGCAAAAGACTACATATAGAAAGAGCTCACAGCCACATTTTGCATGTAACTTCATTATTGCTGTTACCCTACACATTTAAAAAGTCTTTTAAGAATATATATTTTGTCAGGCCTGGTGGCAAATGCTTATCATCTCAGCACTCTGATTGTTTCAAGTCTGAAGCCAGTGTGGATAACTTAGTCAATCACTGAGAGCATGGAAAGAGAAAAAAAAAAAAAAGCCTGGGAGTTATACTCAGGGCAAAGGCTTGTGTTCATTCCCACCAACGTATATATATATACACATTACACAATTGTTATTTATATACACATATCGCACAATTTTAAAATCAATTTAATCACATGTTTATTTGCATATGCCAAATCAATTTAATCACATGTTTATTTGCATATGCCATTCTTTCATACTAAGGTAAAGAATCAAATTATAGATAAGACATACTCTCTCAACCCACTTCCCAGAAGTAACATAAAGTTGTAATAAAAGTCTATGGATGAGATTAAAATACTTACCAATAAGACCACCTGGAGCAGCATACTGAAGATCATTATGTTCTGCAAAAAGTGATATAATTTTAGAAAAGATTGGTTTGCACATGAGTTTTCCATCACCATCTTTGGAAACAATACCAGGTCTGACTTCTATCTTCTGTCCCACCTAAAATAAAAAATAAGTAACTGATATATCTAGGGTAATATAATCACTATTAAAATGTAAACAGTCCTAACAAGTAGACTATTATTTAAAAAAATAATTTCAAACACTATTATAAGATTAAAAATTAAAACATATTTCTAAAGCTAAAACCACTCACTTTAAATAATTAACTACAATAAATTTACGTGTTACACACATGATATACTGTATTTAAGAGAAGTAATAAACAAAATAGTACATTTTACTTTAAAAAAATTGAATTCTAAGAGTTCATTTTACTGCAATTTTTTTTCTGGTGGGGAGGAAACAACAGTTTACAATTCAGTTTACCTTTAATACTCCTTTTAAAATACTACCACCAGCTACACCCCCTTTGAGGTCATCAACTTCACAGCCAGGTTTGTTAACATCAAAAGATCTAATAACTAAAGAAGAGAAGAGAAACAATAAAGCTCTCTGGATAAAGAAGTAATAAAAACTATTAAAAGAGAATTAACAATACAGAAAAAAACAAATCAACAGTTAAGGGCCAAGAAATAAAGTCCTTACCAATAAGTCTAGGTTCTGCGGTAAAATCTCTTGTAGGTACTGGAATTTTCTTTACTATATACTCACAGACAACTTCAATATTGTATTTCAGCTGAGCAGAAATGGGAATAATAGGTGCTCCTTCAGCTACTGTACCTATATAGCAAAATTCACAATCAAAATTTATCAGTTTAACAGAAATTATTCCGCATACCTGCTACATAAAAGTTAAGCTTAACTAAAATGGAGATTCAAACATTCCTATACATATGTGAGTGACAAAAAACAATGACCACTTTATTAAGAAAATTCACAACATAAGTTTATCTATAAGTTTTATTCCTTTTAAGCAAAAAATTATCTAGTTGTATTAATACATAAACAAGATAAAACTGATTATAAAGGAATACAGCTATTACCAAAAAAGAAAGTGGCTTACAATCATAAATTTAACACGGTTTGGATAATCTAAATTAAGGTATCTAGACTATCTTTCAAATGATATAAAAATTTCTGCAACACTATGGTTTCTTACCTTGTACAAATCCAAGTATTTGTTCATACTGTTCTTTGGCCTGACTTTCTTTTACCAAATCAATTTTATTTTGCAGAATTATAATATGTTTCAACTTCATAATTTCTATGGCAGCCAGATGTTCAGAAGTCTGAGGCTGAGGACAGGATTCATTACCCGCTAAATTGACAGTAAATAAAATTTAAAAATAAAAACAAGGTGAGTAATAATCAGGGGCAAAAGATATAGCACAGTGGCATTGCACCTGCCTGACAAGCTCAAGGTCCTGAGTTTGATTCATGATACCAGGAAAAAAAAAAAAAATCAACTGGCACCATATAAAGTGAACTTCAGATGTGCTACTCATTAACAAACATTAACTCCCTGACTCATTCTCTTTGATCTCCCTAGATAGTCATTCCTACTCTTAAATGCAATCCTGGACATTGAATATTTAGCTTTTCATGATCTACTCAGTTTTTGCACAGGAATAAAAGAGTTTATTTAGCTTTCTGACATATTATGGCCCAAATTAACTGTTATACCACAGAACAGTTCAAAGTTGTCACTTAATAAAGTCTATGCATCATAACTACAGAGGGAGAAAGTCACTAAAAGGGGACCCATTTCACTATCTTCTGATATTCATCCCTTGGGAAATCTTTCCTGTTAAATTCTGGAGACTTAAATGACTTCTAACCCTAAGAAATACTGAAAAAGTGATAGAATTTCATTTTTCCAGTTAGGTTAAGAAGACTTTGGCTTCTGACTCTCTAAATAGAAATGGTCACATTATGGGATACTAAAGGTGCTAAAAGGCCAACACACACACACACACACACACACACACACACACACACACTCTCATACAGCCTATCTGAAGAGAAACCCGGCACAAGCAAACTTAAAAGTAGATTTTTATCCCAAGAGAAGCTGAATAACTGCAACCCTTTCTAGTATATACTATACACTGTAGAACTTCACAGAAGACTACTGGCCAGTAGTCACAGTTTCTTCCCCACAAAAAATGACTGAATCAATGTTTATGCCTCCAAGATAGTACATTCTGAGGTACTCTGTTCCACAGCAGTGGAGAAATAACAGCTATTCATTAATTACCAGTCCAATAATTTCAATGCAAGATGATCAAAAACTACATTTTTGGTTAATTTTTAAAAACTAATTTAACAGAAAACATTAAAAACAATTTAATCAAATTTATTCAATACAAGAATCAATTAGTTGAAATGATACCTACTCCAGTATTGGTTAAGATACTCAGCAGGCAAAAAAATGCTCTGCTGGAATGACACTTAGGGTAAACTATTATGTAGTTAACAGAATGAAAAAGGCCTATCTTAAAAAAAAAATCCAACAACTTACTAAAAAATACATTTTATTTATACTCTTCATTTCAGTACTTCACCCATACACCATGCTTATTTTTACTTAAAAATTTTGGCCTGCCTCAAATAGTGGCTTGGACTCTGGCAATATTTTCAGATGTATTATGATACAATGATGCTATACAGTAGTCTCTGGCTCCACAAAAAGAAAACCAACACTCTGAAGACACTGCCTTTTACAACTCTTTCCTTGGCTGATCTGATTTTGAATTCTTTCCCTTATATCAAAAACCACAACTTTGAGTATGCCATCTTCCACTGCATTCTGATTCTTTCAGTTACTATACATAAAGGGGTTTATGGAGTTCCTGAACCCGCAGATCTCTGAATTGAAAGCGCTCACATGTGGAGCAGTAGTACTTTATGGACCAAACTCTACATTCATGTAAACACTATATAGTCCCCAACAACAAAATGTCTTGACAGATTATATAGAAAAGCATATTCCTAACTTTGAAAATCTCCAACAAAGCTTTTCGATATTTTATTTGAATAAGACTGTTATCTAAATAAAACCACTATATCAGTATTGTAGTGGACAACACAGTTACTAAAGACAAGCAAGCAAATACATATAACAAATTTTATAGACAATAACTAATTTATCTGTGGATGCAAAAAAATATACCACTGATCATTTTTACAAAATTTGTTTGTATTCTACCATATGAATTCTCACAACCCCAAGTTCATCAAGCATAATATTTTGGGAAAGTTGACTGCTATGAATGTTATTTTGAAAACCTTGTCAGAAATTGTTTCATTTTTTTCACTGTAAGGTTCTTAAAAGTCCCATCTTCTTGTTTAATCATTCCACTTTAGAATGACTACACTGCACACGACTTGACCAAATAAATAATGATGCATTTACCTATCAATAGAAGAGCTGCATCCATCACTGCTGCACCATTCAGCATAGTAGCCATTAAAATATCATGACCAGGACAGTCAACAAAGGAAACATGTCTAACAATTGAGAAATAATAAGCTGTAAGAGTATATCTTTTAATCATTAAGGGAAAATACCTGCTAAAGTAAAAGTTAATGACAATATTATAAATTGCTGTACTAAAAAAATTTTTGCCTTAACTTTACAGAAATGACAATTGAGTTATGAAACAACATATAGGAAAATTTATAGCTTACACAACACATCAGCGGTTGCCAAATACAGAGATCATTAAAATGGTCATGGGACTTGAATTATAATTCAAGAGATGTCTGTAGTTTTCTAACAGTTCTGTAGCTGAAGGAATAGTTTTGGAAATATACTGAGATAAAAAGTGTAGATGTACATACATACAATTAGGTCAATGCCAAGATTCTTTGATGTAATTCCCTCACAGAAACACTGGGATAGGGACACATAAAGAGTTTAAATCTGGGGTCGGAAATTTAGCTTAGTGGTTCTGATGCCTGCCTTGTAAGTGCATTGTTCTGATTTCAATCCCCAGTACCAAAAAAGAAAAGAAAAAAGATTTTAAATCTTTGTAAAATTCCTTTCAGTCTGTAGTTATTTCAAAATCTAAATACACACACACATATGCATCTCAGAGCTCTTAAAAATGAAAGGTAATATTATATGTACAAAAATGTATCATTTTAGGTTCTAAGATGCTTATAATGAAAACACTGATAATTAATTTTTAGTGTAATTTTAATTCCATTCTTTTATTTTATTTATTTTTTTTTTTTTGAGACAGTATCTCACTATGTAGCTGAAACTGACCTGGAACTCACTATATATTCCAGGCTGGTCTCAACTCACAGTGATCCTCCCGCCTGAGCCTCCCGAGTGCTAGGATCACAGGTGTGCACCACCATGCTCGGCTTAATTTCATTCTTGAAACTCATAGGAGATAAACTTTTTTTGTTTGTTTGTTTGTACCAGGGAATGAACTGGGGACCACGATCTTCCATGGCAGGCAGTGGAACAACTGGGGTTTTTTATATGCCTTCAGAAAAAACTCAGGACAAGACGAAACACATTAAATTGCTTTTGGAGGGAAAAAAAAAACTATTAACAGAATACAAACTTTTACCTCAAAAAAATAATTCCCTAAAGGATGACTAGAATCTGAAAAAGCTAAATGAAACTTTCAGTCCAACTAAGATGGCATCACTTCAACAAATAAAAAGCTACTCTATGAATTCAGAAGTGTTATTTTTTAAAACTTTATGTTCTAATATGATCCATACTCTCCTAGGGAAATCCTAACACATTAGTAAGAAGAATTAGGCAGGACTTGCAATGGCAACCAAAAAATTGATGAGGAAATATACCAAAGTAATAGAAAGTACAGCTGGGGATATAGCTCAGTGGAATAACACTTACCTAGCATATTAAATGACCTGAATTCAATCCCTAGTATCATAAATTAGCTAAAAAGAAGTCAGTATATTTTAATCTTATTCTACAAGATAAAGAAAAACAGTATTTAAAACAAAGGACATCTGAATGGCTGGGAGTATAACTCAATGGTATAGTGTTTATCTAGCATGCAAAAGGCTTGCCAGTAGGCCAGCAAAATTTTAAAATAAAAATCTTGGAAAAATAAACCATCACCTCTAATAATAAATTCAGTCTTCTGTGATTCTTTAGAGGACTTCGCCATATTTAAATACTTGGCTTTTCATATTATCTTTATTATAAGGGCTACTATTTATTAAGTGTAAATAACTCATGTAAATTGTCAAAACCCACAGCCAAGTGTTAAGATTTCTTCTTCATATTTTGTTAGGTGCATCTGAATTGAGCTTAGGTTTCAAGCATTTAACAGCTTCATTACATAGATCAACAACTCCAAGGGGAAAAAATGACATTTAGTATAAAATTGATCACCTGACTAATCTGAAGTTCCCTTTGGTTCCTGGGATGTCTGTAGGAAACTCATCAGGTGTACTACTTCCACAAGATCTGTAACATTCTGGCCGAGGACAATTTAAGTCATCAAGTTTATAAATCTGAAAGTTTCCAAGAAAACACTTAACTTGTCATTTGCATAACAAAAAGGAGACAGTTTCTGTTTTTGCAGAATAGGCTGTACCTTAGCATTAGCATATCCAAGCTTAATGGTAATATTTCTTTCCAGTTCATTTTTGAACCTGACAGTGTGAACACCAGAAATAGCTTTTACAACTGTGGATTTCCCATGAGCAACATGACCAATTGTACCTACAAAAAACAAAACAAAAAAATTAATTACTATTCACATAATTACACCAAGTATAGTAATTAAAACAATTCACTAAAATACAAAATTCTACAGCCAACACTTTCTTGTCAAATCATTTTCTTCGTAAATCTTTTTCTGAAACAGGACTACAGAATTTTCCACATAATGGAACACCTTGTTTAAAAAATATACTCACTGTTAATTTGTCATTTATTAAACAAAAGCAATTATCTTCAGTTGAAAGTTACAAAAATTTATATGCTAAGAAATACTCTAGTATTTCAAAAAAATAAGTTAGGATAATTTCTAATGTAAAAGCCAAAGTCCATGAAAACAAGAAAATAGTTTTAGTTTAATAATTCTACTAATGGTATGTCTTATTTAATAACTTCACAAAAAAACCCTTCATATATCATATTAAATTTTACTATTTGTAAAGTCCATAAAATATCTGAAGTTTTCTTAGTCAACATAACTTCTCTTCTAAAACAACTAAGATCAACCGTTAAGAAAAATACATACTCCACTTTACCAGCCTAAAGGAGGCTGAGACATGAAGACCACAAATTCAGTGTATCCTGAGTAACTTAGTGAGACCCTGTCTCAAGATAAAATATAAACAATGGTAACAGATGTAGCTCAGCACCAAGTGTAGGGTCCAAGGTACAACCTGCAGTATCACAAAAATAAAACAAAGAAACTACACAAGATAGACTGTTTTACAAATAGTGCCCTTACGATAATGCTGAACGGCAAGCATTTTCACCTCTTAAAATTCTTTCTACATGTGCACCAGACACACTGACTTTTGATATATGTGTGTCTTTCTAATATTTACTGTAGTATTTGTTTATTCTCTTTGTTTTGGGGTATGCAGAATATGGTCCCCACGGTCTCCTACTTGCCAAACACTGTACCACTAAACTGCATTTCCAATGGTAACACAATTACTCCATAAAACAGGAATGTAGTGCATTTTTTCCATTTCTCAGTCCTGACCAGCAGGTGTTTTGCACAGAGGGGCTCACACATATTCACTTAAACATGTGAAACTTTAATCTGGTGAATCACATGAGATTAAAATTCCCTCTTAAAGAGCAGGTTAAGTCCAGACTCCACAACTGTCTTATAGTCTTTATGTAATGTTATGCTTACCTATATTAATTGTGGCTTGTCTACTGATAACTTCCTGTGAAAGTGGAGTTAACTTGGTAACATCCTGCAATAGAACATTTCAATTATTATCAGAAAGATAAAGTTATTTCCTGTCTTCAATTTGCTATCTTATCTCATGACTTACTTCACACTCTACTTCTGACGAAACGTCTTTCTCCAATAAGAAGTCTGCATGTGTTTTTTAACACACATTTACAAAAAAGATGTACATATATACCATTAGGTCAATGTCAAAACTTTTTGATATAACTCCCTGAAATGTATTATATCAAAACTTTGATATAACTCCCTGAAATGTATTATAACTCACGGAAAACACTGGGGTAGGGACACATAAAGAGTTCCTTGGGCCAGGGATTTAGCTTAGGGGTTCCAATGCTGCCTTGCAAGTACATGGTCCCAAGTTCAATCCCTGGTACCAAAAAAAAAAAGACTTTAAATCTTTTTAAATTCCTTTCAATCTGTGGCTATTTCAAAAAACACATGAAAATTAAATAATGCCCTGCTGAACAACCACCAGGTCACTGAGGAAATTATAGAAGAAATTAACTATAAGTGTAATTAGAAGAAAGTATACAGGAAAATCTTTAGGTCCTGGGGCTTGATGAGATATGTTTAGACACAAAAATAGTAATAAATTTAATTTTTTAAAAAACTTAAAATAATTGCTTTGTGAAAAATCTTATGGGGGAAGAACAAAGGCTGAGGTTGTAAGGGACTAGAACATATATAGAACTGTTAGTATTTAAGAGCAAGAAAAATAAACCCAGGCATAGTGGCAGGTGATTGTAATCACACAATACTGAAAGGCTGAAGCAGGAGGATCACAAGCTCAAGCCCAGCCCAGGCAACTTAGCTGCATATGGAACCCCATTTCCAAACGAAAAATTAAAAGAAAATGGCTAGGAAGGTAGTTCTGTGTGAAGATCCTGTATTGTCCAGTGCTGGAAAAAGGAGAGAGTCCAACGAGAAAATAGACCAGAGTTATGAAAAGTGTACGTAGATGGAAAATAAAATCGTTTTTTATTTTGTTTCAAATCAGCTTTAATTTCAGTATGTTTTAGATAGTATCTTTACTTTGGGAAGTTCTTGTATGCTTATTAGAACTTTGCTTTTGGAAAAGCTATTATCACATAACATATTTTATCTTCTTTGTAGTTATCTTCAGTTTAATTTCAATCGGTAACTATTTAGAAATTCTGAAAGCATTACATTTTTCAGTCTCTTGGTGTTACTTTCAAAGTTGCCTAACTCTGGATTTATAGAAATAGAATGTTGAGGTACGAGGTGAAGGAAAAAGAGCGATGGGAAAATAAGGATACACGATTCTTTGTTCATTTAAAAAATATATGTATCTCCAAATAGAGAAACCATTATACTGAGTAAGTTAATTACAAAAAAAATAATAATAATTCCCTCTTCCATTACAGAGAAGTGCTCAGTCCCAAACTTTAGGAAAATTAGCAATAAAAATATTGCATACTATCCCTTTTCACGTCTTTATTAAATATACAAAATGATGCTTTACAAAAACTCTCCCTCCCTTGATGTGAAGAAAACCTTAATTCTCAAAGTTAAGACCCTGACAAATCCGTCAGGCGCTCAAGTGTGTCCCAAACTGGCACAATCACAGTACAATTACTTGCCTGACTGGCAGAGATAGACGGAACCAAGCCAAAACGGCTTAGGCTACAAAACTAACCAGCTCCCTCCTAACCGATACGCCCGACAATGCGGGCCTGCATCTTCCTTCTTCTGGCACTTCCGCTCTCACAATGCGAACTCTTACCAAGGTGGCGAGATCCTGACAACAAAGATGCGTCTGGCCCAGAGTCACTACAGCCTCGGCCCCCGCCATCTTGCCAGAAACTAAATTCCTTTACCCGCGTAACGACTCGCAGAAACCCTCGAGGGAGATGGGCCGGAAGGAGCGATAGGGGCGGGAAGCTGGAACCGGAAGGCTGACTAGAGCTAAGGCCTGGAGAAAAGGCTGTCAGGTTCAGCTGCAGTTCTCTTTCTTGGGAGTAGGTGGAGTCCTGCAGGCAGATTTATTTTAAAACACCTAGCAACGTTAGAGAATTTCTTTGTAGCAGATTTGTTAGATATTTGTACAGGCAAAGCTGAGGACAGCCCCGGAAAAGGTCCCCTACTATGCTTATTTGGCTCCCGGAGAGTTGATCCTTACTAGGGAAATTGCACACCTGTGCTGGATTTGTTCTTGATTTTTCTAAAGTACAAATATTATCATTAATTTAGGGAGTGTGAAGAAATTTTTTATTTTTATTTTATACATTTACAAAAGGGCAATATAAAAACGTCAAATTAGTGAAATTCATTTTTTCTTTTAATAATTGATATTTAGCAACTTAGTGTTTTTCTGAGGTGGGATAGAAAAAAAAAAGGTGACAAAACAGTTTGTCTCCCTTATTGTTGTCCCGCACTTCCTTTAGAAATGACACACCAGTTAAATTTATTCCAGGTCCTTGCTTCACAAAAAATTAAATGAGTCCATCCCCAGTACAAAAAACAAAATCAAAACAAACAAACAAAGAAAAAAACACCCAAATTGGATGAGAAAAGCCTAAAACGGTGCCAAAATTTATTTGAAAAGTAACGGGCAAGGGGACAGGGAAAAACGCTCTGTACTTGCGGGGGAAAAACGTACAGCCAATTTGGGCTGAACAAGAGGGGAAAGGGAGCAAAAGTAAAAGTGCAACCCTGGTCTAGAGTACAGAGTGGATTACCCTTAAGAGTCAGATAGGATCCTTGTGTGTCTGTGTCTTTATATGCAGTTAATTCCACAAGAATTTCTATATATGAGTACTGGAAATTATTTGTTAGTATTCTGGGATCCTGTAATTGACAAGTCCTGTTTATTTTCCCAACCATCTTTGTCACACCCTACCTCCTACATCATTATTACCTTAAAGGTCTGGGATAGTATCCCTACTAAGTCTAAGTGTACAAATGGAAATCACTTAGTGAGTGTCTATATTACAAGGTTTATTGGTTCCAAATATTCCTAATCTATCTTACCCTTCAAAACCGAAGACACCAAGATAAAATGAAAGTAATTTTCAGGGACTTCTAATTGCCAGCTTTCATAATGTCCAGTATCAGACACCCTCCAAGAGAAGTGTAGACTTTTTCAAATTTGCAGTTACCTTAGCTTTCAGTAAAAACAACCACCCCTTGATGCAAAGACCACCACCCCAAATAGGAGCAAGTACCCTAGACAGGAAATGAGCTCTCGCTACTGTAACATCATTTTCTAAAACCTCAATTGCCCCATAAGTTGTAAGTGTTGTCCTAGTGATATAGGAACTAGAATTGAGGTAATGATGATGCAGCTTGTTGTTCACCTCAGCTAATTATAAAAACCTGGCCTTTTGTGCTTATGAACAGGATACTGTGAAAGCCTGCATCAGAATATGACAGCTCATATATTGGAGTAGCTTTCTCCTTTTCTCATAACTTTCTAACTACCTAATGAAATTATATTATGCTTTGTGTTGTTACATCCTGAAATTCTTTTTCCATGATGTAAGTCAATAACTCACTTTGTGAGTTAAATTGAGATCCCCATCTGTTATTTGGGAAAGTGCCTCTGATTTCTGATGATAGTTCTGGCCCTATAGAATACTTGCTCTTTGTCTGGTCTTCTTGACCCATAGCTATCTGAATTATCATATTGCAAATCTCTTTCCTTAAACTTTCTCTGTTTTGCAAATCTCATCAGTAGTTATCTGTATTGTACAGTAGTTATCTATATTGTAGTAATTCTAAAATATTGTCATCTTGACTATTGACCTCTTCACTCAGCAAAGCCCTTGAATATATCTAAAATTTCAAACATTCCATGCTCAACATAATCTCATCCACCATCTCTTTTGGGGTTATGCATCATTTATTATGCCCAAATCAAGCTATAAGCAGAGGAAGCTCTAAAAAGTTACCCCTCCAATTGGTGTGTTTTAAGATGTGAGTTGATCCAAACCTACATGACTCATAGGGACATTATGAATGGTGCATGTGTCAATGTCAGACCAACTCTCCTCCAAGAATGGTAACAGAGAGAAATGGCCTGTGAAGCTATAGGGCTTAATATGAGACAGCATCCGGCCCATGTTAGAGTGACTGTCACTCAAATTCTATTCCCAGAATTGAAATCTTCTTTACTAAAAAAAAAAGGTTAAATTTTAACTACATACTATATTTTGCCTGTTCTGTTCCTCACTCAAGAATGCTTTGTCTCTTCCTTTACAAGTTTTAACAGTATTAGCAATATATCCATAGAAGCTACATTAAATGAGACACAAACACAGAATTCCATGTAATCTAAAGTAAACTTGGCAGGAAATAAGGAAAAGTCTGAGAGTCAACCATCAGGACACCTAGAACTGAAACGCAAAAACAAAAACAAAACAAAAGACCACCACCAACAACAAAACAGATAAATGGGGCTATAGAAAAATTCAAAACAGAAATAATTTCCCAGATAACCACAATGATAGAAGAATGAAAGACATGATTAGAGACACTGGAACAGAAACAGATTTTTAAAAAAATAGCTGAGCTCAGGATCATCATGGAAATCATGAGTGTCAAGCATAGGAAAGAAATGGAAACCTTGAATATCCAACATAAGAAAGAAATGGAATCCATGAAACAGATTCAAACAGGTATCCAGGAGAATGAAAACCCTATACAGGGGTCAGGCAGGTTGGCTCAGTGATTCTGCCACCTGCCTCTCAAGTGCAAGGGCCTGAGATCAATGCCTAATATCAAAACAACCCACATAAATAAAATACAAATAAAAACTCTACAGAAAGCATTTGCAACAGAAGGAAGGAATGTGAAATAGAATTTCAGATATAGAAGATAGTACTGTGGTTATTAACTATGAAAAGAGAGATCTCTTAAAAAGAGTAAGGAATCATGAGAAATCAATTCAACAATTCCTAGATGATGCAAAGAATAACATAAGACTGATAGGAATCCATGAAGTAGCAGGAGAAAGGATAAATGACATTAAAAAAACTGTTCACAGAATTAATGACAGAAAACTTCCCAAACAGAGGGGAAGAATTTGACATATAGTTAAGTGAGGCATATAGGACTCTAAGTAGCCGTGATTAAAAAAACCCAAAAAACTATACCTAGACATATCATAATCAAGATCCCAGAAACTCAAAAGAACATCAAAACACTACAAGCAGTAAGAGGAAAGAAACACATCTTCTGCAAAAGGAAGCCCATCAGAATCACAGCAGACTTTTCACACAAACCCTCAAGTCATGGAGAGCCTGGAGTGAGGTATTTCAAGCCCTAAAAGAAAACAACCTCCAACCCAGGCTGATGTATCCTGAAAAACTCTCTTTCAAAATTGATGGAGAAATAAGGGTCTTCCATGACAAAGAAAACCAGAAAAATTTAATGAATACCAAAGTGGAACTCCAAACACTTCTAAACAGTATTCTGAAAGAAGAAAATGGAGGCCACAACTCCATAAGGGCTGAAATGACAAAGATATATTGTAATGCAAGAATTTAAAGGGAGAGGGGTAAAAATAAAAAATAGAAGAACCAACAAAAGGAAAATAACATGACAATTAAAAGTCAATACATAGCAGTTATAACCAGAAATGTTAATGGCCTCAGTTCACCAATCAAAAGGAATAGGCAGGCAGAATGGATTAAGAAGCAAAATCCAACAATATGATGTATATTAAAAAGCCACTTATCCCACAAAGAAATTCATAGACTGAGAGTATAAAGAAGAAAAATCTTTATATGTGATAGAGGCCCAGGAAAAAAATAGAGGTAGTTATCTTTTTTCCAGACAAAATAGATTTCAAACCAAACTAATTAAGAGAGATAAAAAAGGTAACTACATACTTGTAAAGGGAATGATAAAAGAGGAAGAAATAAGAGCCATAAATATATATGTGCAGCAAATACTAATTCCCCCAATTATACAAAACAAAGGTTAATGGATATGAAAAATGAAATAAGCACTAATACAATTGTAGTCGGTGACCTCAATATTCCACTGACACAGACATATGATCTAAAAAAAATAAAAAAACAACAAGAAATAACACAATTGAACCAAGTCTTAGGACAAATGGACTTAGTAGATGTCTACAGTATGTTCCAAACCACAAAACCAGAATATACATGCTCTTTGGATGCACACAGGTCATTCTCTAAAATAGATCACATGCTAGCTCATATACATGCTTAAGTAAATGCAAAGGAATTGAAGTTATCCTCTGTATATTATCAGAGCATATTGCAATTACATTGGAGATCAATAGCCTAAGAATCCACAAGAATGCCCCAATCAAATGGAAATGAAATAACACCCTGTGGAACAACCATGTGTTCACTAAGGAAATTATAGAAGAAATTAGTTTCTACAATTAAATCATAATGCCAATGCAACCTACAGGAATCTATGGGACCCAATGAAAGCAGTTCTGCAAGGGATATTCATAGCAGTAAATTCCCATACTGGAAAAAAGAGTGAACTCAAATAAACATCCTAATGCTTAACTGTAAGCTCCTAGAAATAGAAAAGTAAGACAAACTGAAAGCTCATACAAGGGAAGAAATGATAAAGATCAGCACAGAATTTAGTGCAAGTGAAACTAAGAGAATAATATACAAAAGCAATAAATTGAGTTGGTTTTTCAAAAGAATAAATAAAATCAATAAAGCCTAGCCAAACTTATTTAAAAAAAAGGCAGGAAAAGGCTGAAATTCATGTAATTAGGAGTGAAAAAGGTGAAGTCACAACAGACACATCAGAAATGCAGAGGATCATCAACACCTCCTTCCAAAACCTAGGCTCTAATAATAAATGGAAAATGCAGAAAAAATAGACAGATTCCTAGATATATATGAAGTTCCAAAGTTGAATGAAGAACATATTAAGTCTAAACAC